GGGGCGGTGACGCGATTGTTTTTGCATTTGCTTTCTTTTCCTGCTTTTTTTGTGTACGTGTGCACACGTGCGCGCGCGCACGTGTGTGTGTGTGTGTGTGTGTGTGTGTGTGTGTGTGAGAGAGAGAGAGAGAGAGAGAGAGAGAGAGAGAGAGCAATGCCACCCTGATACTCGTCGCGATGACAGGATAACGATTAAATCGATGGAACGCTAACCCCGGTCTAAGGAGGGGGCGGGCAGACCGGAGGAGGAGAGAGAGAGAGGACGGGGTGGGGAGGGGGAGGAAGGTAAGAGAAGATCTGTAGAGAACAGCCACAACTGCGCTGGATGCCTTCGATTTCAATCAGTAGACAAAAGAAGAAATCGACGGCAGAAATGTTTGGTAAAGCATAAGCATAATTTTCTTTTATGTGGACCGAAAAATTTTATTTTTATTTTTTTACGGAAGTTCCCGGTGATGTCTATCACGTACGTGCTTACCGAGAGAATTCTCCTTCTCCTTGACCTCAATGGCTTTCCCCTTTTGCTCATCATAAAAATTCCCTCTTCTTCACTCGTTTCCGTCTTTTCTTTTTTTGCTTTTTTCCTTCACTTGTTTTCCGTACTGACCGGACGACCGGACATCGGAAACACCAGATCGGGATCGATCGGGATCTCTCTGCTCTCCAACCGTTCCCCTCCCCCTCCTTCCTTGCGCCCCCCCCCGCCCCCCCCCGCGCAGAGAACGCACACACACTTCAACCTCCGGATGTGTCAGTGAACGTTCACCGCGACAGTCTGACACAGTCATGCTTCTTTTTTTTTGCTTTTTTGTTTCTGCTTTTTTTTTGCTTTTTTTTTTGCTTTTTTTTGTGGAGTCGCGTATAGCGACCATGACACCACACACACACACACACACACACATCACCGCACAGAAGGGAAAGTCCACCTCGAAAAAGTCAGGCACGATGACAACGCGAACAAAGACAAATATCGGACATGTAGACACCAATCTTGATTTCTTTGCTTTCGTTTTTTTTCCTTTTTGTTTTTGTTTTTAGTACACTTTTTACGCATACTACGCATACTCTGTATTAAGGGGGGACTTCCCTTTTAAAAAAAAGATTAATTACCGATGTTTTCAAAAGCCATTTCCCTCCTTTTTAACAAGAAAATTGAGAAGATTTAATTACCATGGCCCCTGCGCACTCAAGGATGACACCAATAAACCGAGAAATGGTCCAAATTCAAGGAATAGACAACTCAAGGATGACACCAATAAACCGAGAAATGGTCCAAATTCAAGGAACAGACAAAAGAAGTTAATAAATCAATGAAACTAACTAAGGAGGGAAATGAGTACCGTCCTCGCCCGAATACAAAGCACAAGGTCAATTTAGTTCTCTGTATTTAGGGTAACTTTCGATCGTAGATACATCAATAACGAGCGTGTCTCTCATCCTACTCCATTTTCTTCGTTATCATCATTCCCACGTTCCTCTTCCTCCCTCTTCCCGCCCCTTCCTCCCTTTCTCTGCATAAGACAAAAGGGGCAAAAGAAAGGATGGGTGGAGTCTTCTGAGGGGAAAACGTGGGCGGGGGAGGGGGGGGGGGGGGGGGGGGGTTCGACGTAAAAAAAAAAAAGGAGAAAGAAAAAGAAAAGAAGAAAAAAAGGGCAAAATGACTACCGGCTGGGAATGTGACAGAGTATGTGTCCCATTTATTACCCCTACGCTTTCCGCCAGATTTCTTTTTTCGGCGTTTCTTTTTCCTAGACGAAAGACCAGAAGGGGGGAGGGGAGGGGGGCGGGGGAGGGGAAGGAGAGGAGGGAAAGGAGGGAAGGGAAGGGAAAGAAACCAAAAAGGAGAGGGGAGGTAGGTTCTGAAAGGCGGGAGAAAAAAATAAATTGAAAAAAGAATGTAGTGAACTTTTTTAAAACAAACACTGGGGAAAAAAAAAAAGAAAAAAGAAAAAAAAAAAGGTTGTTTTGTGTCTCATCCATCTCTCACCTGGAGTAGGGTGGAAGACCAGCAATGACGTCAACACGACCAGCAGCATCAACAGCATGCCCGATAGGAGAGAAGCTCCTGGATATGGCGCCATTGCCTTCCTCCTCGTTTTCATGTTCGTCTTCCTCGTCACCTTCGGCGATGGCGATGGCGATGACGATGACGATGGCGATGGCGATGACGATGACGATTTCTGCGTCGGTCTACGCAACGACCAGCAGAAGTACGACGAGGTTGATGGTGATGATGATGACGATGATAATGATGACGATGATGATGATGATGATGATGACGACGACGAGGAGAAGTCGCCGCTATCGCGATACCGGTCCCGACCGAGACTTAATGAGGGAGAGTGGGACGCGGATCTAGTGGAGAATGACGACGAGGAGGTGACGCGTGACAACGGAGACGATGACGTGTCAGCTCCACAGACCACCACCATGCCCATGGCTATAGCCGCCATTTTGCTTCGCTCCGCTTTCTCTTCCCTTTCCCTCTTTGCTCTGCTCTGCAATCCACTCAATCACCCGTCTCCTGCTCTCGCTTGACTGATTGATTGATGGATGGATGGATGGATGGATTGAGCGCGATTGATCGCTTGATTAGTTGCTTGATTGGTGGTAATCGTTGGATTATGAGATTCCAGATCTCGTCTACGACTTCCCGCCACTTCAACGAATTCCACCGAGTCGATTGATGATTCGGCACTTGATTGGGACAACTGAAGAGATCGGATGTGTGAAGAATGAAGAGCGCCTCTCCTTCTTCGCGCACTTCTCAAGTCCCCTGTCTCCTTCTTTTCTTTTCTTTTCTTTTGTGCAACTTCCCCCTCTCTGTTGACGACAACGAAGAGCCGACTTTCAAGGAACTTTTTTCCTCTATTAGAACGAGAACAGTCCCTATTTTCACCAATTTTCCAAAAATAGCAAGAAGCAGAAAAGGGGGGGCGGCACACAGACCGAACGATCAAGACACACACAACCAATTTTTACCGAAATTAGAAACGCACGCAACGCATTACACTCCCGGGAAAATTACTATAAAAACAACAACAACAAAAAAAAGCAAATGTGACGAACAAGACCGCGCTTTTGCATACACATTACGCATTACGCTCCCGGGAAAAAAAAAGAAAGCAAATGTGACGAACAAGACCGCGCTTTGCATACACATTCGGGAGCACGGTTCCAATTTTTTTTTTAATTATGTCTTTTAAATTTATTTATTTCTCTCTTCTCAACCTGCAAACGAGTCATGGACTATAATGACCCATGCGACAGGTTGAGAATAGAGAAATAAATCAATTTAAAAGACACATTTTATAAATTTTTTAAGAAAATTGGTGAGCAGGTTGACGTTTGAAAGTACTGCAAAAGGCGGCCGTCTTCTTGAACATCAGAATGAATCACTTTAGCGTTACAGTCTTCCCCCGAATACAACGTACGGTCATTATAGCTGACTTTAGACTGAAATATGCACCGAATTCAGCTATAATGACCGTACGTTGTATTCGGGGGAAGACTGTAGCGTTTCCCTCATTACCCGTCGTCATGCAGTCGCGTCCCCCCCCCTGATGACTCGGTAGGGGAAAACCACTCGCACGAATTAAGAGATACTGACCGTAGATAACAAAGATCAACGGCCGAAATCTCCTATTTTGCGCAAGAGGGACCTTGCCCCGGTAGGGGAAAACCAGAGTACTCTAGTACTAAAGCGTTTCACTCTTACTTGATGGGATAGAAGAGGACACCATAGGGGATACGGCGTTCCCTAGGGAGCGCTGTAGATGGTGGATATGGCGTTCCCTAGGGAGCGCTGTAGAACTCTTTGGCTTTTCTCTGAATATTTTTTGTTGAGTTCAACTCGAACTCGGGAATTCACATATTTTGCAGGCTGGCTATCTCATGAGTCATAACTTGCTATGTGTTGTTTTGGTGACGATGTACGTCGTCCCCAACTTCCTCGATCAAAGAATCAAACAAGAGGGGAAGGGGGGGGGGGGAGGAGGAGGAAAGGCGCTGAAAAAAAAAAAGAAAAACAAAGACGAAAGCACTGGAAAACCGAAAAAAAAAAAAAAACGAAAAAAAAAACAGAGACACATGCAGATGCATAGCCGCGATTCTCAGGCAGCAGACAGCATGCAGATATTGACGAATGGGTAACATGGGGGCCTCGCTGCACTACTCACCAAATGTGCAAAATGAGAGTGAATCTACCGCTAGAACACGGAAAGATACACCGCAGCACTTTTAAGACTATTGTGCACGTGGGAAGTAGTGGATCGACCCCATGATAGTACGGACAGCAACCAACAACAGCTGTTTCACTCAGACTCAAGAGAGAAAGATTGTATCTGACAGCCATTCTTAGGGCCTATTCACATAGCTCTATTGGAAATGTACCTGACCGCATTTACGGCCGAACCTGGATGTATCTGACCGCAATTAAGAACCTCAAAACCTTGAAGAATAGAAACAAAAACAAAAAACAGGCATAATCATAACAACAAATCAGGGTGAGTAGGCGTAAGAAAAGAAAGAGAGAGAGCGGGGAAGAGAGAAGGGAGGGGGGAGGAGGGGGCGGGTACACATTGACGGCGAGCGATAGGTGAGTGAATGTTTGTGTGTGTGTGTGTGTGAGAGAGAGAGAGAGAGAGAGAGAGAGAGAGAGAGAGAGAGAGAGAGAGAGAGAGAGAGAGAGAGAGAGAGAGAGAAATTTTACCCCAGTACTCGTCACGATCACTACGTGATGGATGAACTGCTAACCCCGATCTGAGAAGATAGAGAAACGTAGAGAGACACAGAGAGAGAGAGAGAGAGAGAGAGAGAGAGAGAGAGAGAGAGAGAGAGAGAGAGAGAGAGATGGCACCCTGATACTCGTCGACATGACAGGATGACGATTAAAACGATGGAATGCTAACCCCATTCAAAGGAGGGGGCAGGCGGATCGAGGGGGGGGGAGAGAGAATGGAGGGGGAAAGGGGGAGAGCGGGGGCAACTCGGGCGGGGGGGGGGGGAGGGACGCAGCGCATACAAGGTTAATGTAGTCGTAATCGTGATCATGATAAAACCGCTGCGATCGAAGGATTGCGTAGGGTTTACACGAATCAAGTAAGGATTTAACCAAAATTATAAATCCATAAATTTAAGTCTACACATTAAATCGGGCATGAATAAAACATTGTCATCGTAATCGTGATCACAATACCTTCCTCGGCCTTTCGACTAAGAATAAGATGAAGTGCAGTGTATCTGTTCTGATCAGCTTAATATCTGATGATCCGTAATCCACCGGAGGTTGGGAGGGGGGAGGGGGGGTGGGGGGGGCGAGAAGGAAGTCTAACATATGACCCCTGTGGTCCATCGGACTAAAATAAATAATACAAAAGGCCTCGCTCCACTACTCAACATTCGACATGTATTTGGACACTTTGTGTGGACGAGGTGCATTCGGACAAGTCCAATCTTTCAAACGTATCGGGACGACTGTGCGCTCCAGATACATAATAGTCTGTTGTGTAGTGGAGCGAGGCCCAAATTCACAAATATTACCACAGTACGTGGAATTAAGGGGGGAAAAAGAGGAACGTCAACAAAATATGACGCTGAAGGACTGCCAAGAAGATGTGACGCTTCATAGAGCACAACCCTAAAACATTATAAAAAAAACAATCATACAAATGGGACAAAACGACAACCAGGTGTGGGGACTATTCAGGGGGTAAAATAACTACTTTTTTGAGGGCGAATAAAATTCAATAAACTATACTAAATTGATAATTGAACATATGAAAAAAAAAAATAAAAAAAATTGAACATATGAACATGTACGCATTACGATACACTATACATGTTTTATTATTTCATTTATCTACTTTTAAGTTCATCCATGGATTGCTATAAATACTCAACCCTATTTACTTCACAAAATTAACATGTTATATGTTATATGCATATATATATCGTCAAACAGAGCTGCCCGGTAATGCATATATCCTATATGCATATATGCCCCTCTCTCGTTTGTTGTCCTCTTCTCCCTCTCTGCCTACGGTTTAGCGGCCAGCTCTGTTTAGTGGTTATATATATATATCGTCACAAACAGAACTGCCCGGTAAACCGTAGGCAGAGAGAGAGAAGAGGACAACAAACGAGGTATATATCGTCACAAACAGAACTGCCCGGTAAACCGTAGGCAGAGAGAGAGAAGAGGACAACAAACGAGGGGCTGTGACAAACTGTTTCGTCGGAGTTTCACCGACTCATCAGGAGGCTGAACCCTCAACAGTCAGCAGAATCCCCTCAATGATTACACTGTAAATGATAATCTACCTTAACGAAAATCAAAGTAGACTATCACTCACCCACAGCAGATGGAAAACTCTACAGACTGTATATATACATAAATATATGCAAAAATATATGCATATATATATATTTACATATTTATATTTATATATCGTCAAACAACAGAACAGCCTGGTAAACCATAGGCAGAGAGGGAGAAGAGGACAACAGACGAGGGGACGTGACAAAGACAGTTTTTTTTTTTGTTTTTTTTTTTGCCACAAAGACTTTCGTCTGAGTTTCACCGACTAGTCAGGAGGCTGAAAAAAAAAAGTATATTGACTATAAATAATCTACGATTCGGTATTAATATATCAGGAAAAAAAAAAAGTTGTTGTCTATGATTCTACGCTATTATCTACTGATATACTACCAGGTTTCCACAGTCCACACAAAAAAAAAAACAGTCCGTCTATGGGCCTCACTCCAGGGTACAACATTCTATTTTTTTCTGTAGCTGGTAATAATATGGTCCCAATACACTCAAAATGTTGGATCAAAAAAAAAAAAAAAAAAAAAAAAAATGTTGGATCAGTCCGAATGTATCTGGTCCAACTCGTCCAGATACGTGTACAAGTCTAGTAAAGCGAGGCGCTATGTATCTACTTCACGAAGATATATTTATATGCATTGCAACATAAATATTCTTACACAACGAGAATTTATGCGCTGCTAAAATGAACAAATAATATAAATCAATAAATTAACACAACCAAATAAATAATCTAATTGCATACATAAACAAATAATAACCAAACAAATCATCTATGTATGTATCCAGAGTCCAAGAACAGTTTGCCCACAAGGCCCCTCTCATCAACCCCCCCTCCCCCGCAAAAAAAAAAAAAAAAAACGGTAAAAAAAAAAAGTTAGTCACAGCTCACTGTGCTTTCTCTCATCCACTCTTTCCCGCATGTATATGAGAATAATGAGACAATGGGCTTCGCTCCACCACAGCATCCTAAATGTCTCTGGATCTGGAGCATGGCCAGATACATTCATGCCCAGATACATTCAAAGAGTTGGGTTAATGCGCATGTACCGGGGTCACAAATTCAGTCCAGGTACATTAACAATCCTGTCTAGTGTAGCGACAACCAATACGTATATGCATCGCTATTGGTATCATCACATACCAACACGTGTCTATACTCTGGGGGCGTGCTCACGCATGTATGTATATATATTATGGTCCAGATACGTTTACCAACGTGTTTCAACTTCTTTGTATTTACACGTCCATGTCCGCATACCAATACAATGGGCTTTCTTTCCAAAAAAAAAAAAAAAAAAAAGAGGGGTCCTGTGACCGACTTTTCGTCCAAGTTCCACCTGCTGACTCATCAGGATGCTCAACCCTCTACAGTCTGCAGAGCGCCTTTTCGTCCTGTGACCGACTTTTCGTCCAAGTTCCACCTGTGACCGACTTTTCGTCCTGTGACCGACTTTTCGTCCAAGTTCCAACTGATATATATCTATATACTTCGACTACTATATATAATACATACATATATTGTCACACTGTAAATCGGGGCGCAAAGGCGGAAAAAGAC